AGCAGGAAGCCCGATGCGGGACTCGATCCCGGGACTCCAGGATCATGACCCGAGCCGAAGGCAGTCGCCCAACCAACTGAGCCACCCAGGCGCCCTAGCACAGCTTTTTAAACGAAAACAAAATCAACATTTGTACTTATTGCTCAGAGGTCCAGATCATTTAATTAAAGTAAAAAGATGTTAATGCCAAAGTGTTTAATTGATAGGAAACATTTCAATGCCATAGGCCAGGTTTCTAAAATGGAATGCTTAGGTTACAGGTCAATATGCTGAACTAAAAAATGTGAGGTCTTTGGACAAAATGATAAAAAATGATTTTAACTCCCTTAGATTCATGTTATCCACTTTCTGATTTTCTCTCATAGTGAGGGAAACATGAAACACTATGTCCATTAGGGTCATTTAGCATCACTCAGCTCTGGGACCACAGATGGAACACTCATGCCTGACCAGTTGCCAGACATACACTCAGTTCAGCCACTGCCAGAGAATTAGAAACCGTGAACGGATTAAGACCAGCTATCATCAATAGAGCGAAAATGCTAATAGCACATGCTTTTCAGACTGTATTTTTAGTGCTAATTTATCAAAATGCATTGTTCCTTAATCTTCACGACTTTCAGTAGGCCTAACAACATAGCTGATAGATACCATAGTATTCATCCAGGAGTACCTCCCAACCCCTAATTTACTGCTGTAAAATTTGCTGACCGGGCCTTTTAATTAAGTTTACTTTCCCAGGTAGGGATGTGGAGGAATGAACTGTGTGATGTTCTTGGTGTTTCCAGAGTGAAACCCTGAATATTTGGCTTGACAGGGTGACATTCAGACATTTGATATCGCTTATTTTTATATGCTTAGAAAGTGTGCTTATAGAGAACAATATGTAGCTCCCTCTGTAAATGAGTCAAATGGCAATTTTGAAAAAGGGGTCTCATCTTGGAATGGCCCCTTGCCTTTTTCCTCCTTTTTAAAAGGAGAAAAGCATAGCAAGCCACAGCCCCTAAGGGATTCACCAAGCAAAGCAAAGGATAAGAGGCATAATGCGTGGGCTCAAAGTCAGTGATGGACCAAAAGGCGAGTGGGAATGAGAGAGCCGGGCTGACAGTTAATTGCAGGGAACCTGCTGGGTGAAGTGTGCCTGACACTCAGCACAGGGGACCTGCAGACAACCAGAGATAAAGAGCAAGAAATGTCAAAGCCAATCCCTCAGAGCCCTTTCTTTCCCAGCTGCAAAACCCATCCTGCTCTAAGGCAATCTGACACTTCATGGAAATGCCGAGTTCCCTCACAGCAGCAGAGGTTCCGCTGGTCTTTTCCTTTATCATTAGTTCTGTGATCCGCGTACTGCCTTTATCTTGTCCCAACGAATCAAGAGGAACCTACAAACTGTGAGGTACGCCGATGTGGCACACATGTGTGCCTTGGGCGCCTGAGCGGAAGTCACCCTGCCAAGGAACATTCTGTAGATGCTGCTAGATTTCTGACATGATTTGCAAAGAAAACTGCTGACTTAAAATGCACATCTTTCTACAAAATATTATATTATTTTTATGAACGCAAATCGGTCAGTTCTGTTCTCGGTCATTTCCAGTGACGATTACAAGATGGAATACCTTCCCCTGTGAGAGTAAACGCCTTTGAAAGTCAAGTGATCTTTACCCGACAAAAAGATAGCAACCATGCTAGGTATTGTTGATGGTAGTTCTACTGTATAATGTTTAATAATGTTACCAATTGCCAAAAATTATCATTATGTTTATTGCAAAGAGTACATATATTATGGGTTGACTTGTGTCCCCCCTAAAAAGATACGTTGAAGTCCTAAATTCCAGTACCTCAGAATGTGACCTTATTTGGAAATGGGGTCATTGCTGATGTAATTGGGTTTAGATAAGGTCATACTGGAGTGGAGTCCCTATCAGAACATGACCATGTGAAGACACAGAGACACAACGAGATCACTTTGTGAAGACAGAGGCAGAGATTGGAAATAGGCAGGTGCAAAGCAAGGAATGCTGAGGATTGACAGCCACCATGAGAAGCTAGGAAGAAGAAGGGAAGGATTCTACCCTCAGTCTCAGAGGGAACAGTTCCCTGCCAACATCTTCATTTGAGACTTCTTGCCTCCAGAACCATGAGACAATAAATTTCTGTTGTTTGAGCCACACAGTCTATGGTATTTCATATGGCAGCCCTAAGAATCTAATACAACATATACCATGCATCTGTGGTTACTCATTTTTATTCAAAGAAATATGGATCCAGTATGTTAATGGTGCTGACCCTCAAATTAAGATGTTTTGGGGAAAGGGAGGCAAAATCACAGAATACATAGCAGGTGTGTTCAAATGTCTCTAAGGGTCTACTTGACAGAGCGAAGTGTAAAGAGTGAGTTCTAGTCCGTGATTTAGAACTGGAACTGCCATGAGAACACTGGAATTTTAGTTACTCACTGAACTCTGTGGGCTTTGGTTTCTTTACTTATAAATGAGGCAATGAGACTAGATCAGCTCTTTGGCATTTTTGGTTTTGGGGGGGCAGAGGAAGAGGGAAAGAGAGAGAGAGACTCTTAAGCAGGCTCCACACCCTTAGTGGTAGTCCAACACGAGGCTCGATCTCATGACCCTGAGATCATGACCTAGCCAAAATCAAGAGTTGGATGCTTAACTGACTAAGCCACCCAGGTGCCCCCTGGCTGTTTGGTTCTAATAAACAATATGTCTGTATTGAAATTTAAAACCCAGTCTGATTTTCCTTGACCTTTGGTAGAGGGAAGTTAGAGAATGAAATCAATTTTAGTGTTAGCCTAAGAAAGCTAGTTAAAAAAAGAAAGGGGGTCATTGTATGCTTTCCTGATAGATATATTCACAATTTATCAGTGACTGTATTGTCCACGATAGTTTCCCTGTATTAATGCTGAGAAATGTGGATTTGTGATTGGATGCACCATTGCATCTGGGCATATAATCCTCAATCTTTTTCTTTAGTCTTAACCTTCCCCAAAGATGCAAAATAGACAGTGGCATCTCCACTTTAATGTCCTCTGTCAGCATCTCCAATGTGGAATTCTTTGTTACTTTTTAATAGTACCAACATGTCAGCAGCTAGACTAAAAATGTTTGTCTTCATGTTCTCATTCCAGCTGCCAAGCCCCCTGGCTTCTGTTCCCTCTCAACATTCTCTATCCCTTTGTGACCTTTGCTTCTCCTCCTTTTCATTCCCACTGCCACTGGTTCAGCTCACATCCTGGTACCAGCATCCCAACTGATGTCTCATCTACTAATTCTCCATGTTCCTCTTTCCTACCTAATACTGCTGCCGCGTGATTATCATAGAAGTTCCACTTTTATTTATTTATTTATTTATTTATTTATTTATTTATTTATTTAAGAGAGAGAGAATGAGAGAGAACACATGAGAGGGGGTAGCATCAGAGGGCA